GTATCTTAGCTCTGCATTGCTTATCAGTCATTCTTTTCCGCCCAAAATTGCTAGGATTGATTTTGCTTTCTTGAAATTGAATATGACTTTTTGCATGTGTGTAACATCCAGAGTGATCTGGGAAGTGGCTATTTGCGTTTCTAATTATCTTCATCAACAAGAATGAGTCAGCAGTGGTGTTTTAGTGGCATGTATGATTTCCAACATCTTACAGTCATCCCTGGTGTAACAGGGTCGTCACCCTTCCTCCCACAGATATGGAAGGGAAATATTGACAGTGGGGAATATGTAACTATGTAAGGATAAGAAGTAGCCCTGATAAGAATGGCAAAATATTTTCGTGTCTCTTTAAAAACTCTGGATTCCTTTCTTGAGAACCAAAACCCTGCATACCTTGCTCAGGCCAGTGTTGGGCAGAGCAAAGCAGTTGGTTAGATAAGTCTCTTTGTCTATTTTGTTACAAAAGAAGGCTCTGCTCAGAACGAGGGAGGTCCTGGGTAGAGGTAACGGGATTGTCTTCAGTGGAGATGGGATGATCAGATCATTTCAAGCTGCTTACGTTGAATAGCAGCTCGCCTAAAGCTGAGAACTTCACCCTTTAAGAATCCTTGTGTATTGGCACGCTTGGTTGGCTCAGGTGTAATTCCTAGCTCTCTGGGAGCCTGAGGCAGGAGGATTGCTCAGGAGTTGGGAACCAGCCTGAGCAAGAGCTAGACCCTGTCTCTACCTAGAAAACATAGAAAGAATAACTTGGCCAACTAAAACTATATAGGATATATATAGCCAGGCATGGCTGGCACCAGCCTATAGTCCCAGATACTCAGAGACTGAGCAGAAGGATCGCTGGCCCAGGAGTTTGAGGTTGCTGTGGAGCGTAGGCTGATGCCATGGCACTCGTAACCCCAGGGCGAACAGAGTGAGACTTCTCAAAAAAGAAAAAAAAAAAAAGAAAAGAAAAGAAAAGAAAATGGAAAAGCTCGTTATTTCTGCTGTATGTTAAGATGATGCGCATTCTTCAGACAGAAGTCTCCATGCCTGGCCTCCTTGCTGGCAACAGTAATAAACTTCTCCTTGTCCTCTTCCTCAACACACCTTTTCATTCTTCTGCTTAGTGCCGTTGAGGATAATGTGTCTGAACTTTGGGTAACACTCGGGCCGCCCCTAGTTCATTTAGGTAAACACCTGCATATGACTATCATTTAGTAACTCAGATTATGCTAAGTGCAACTCGGCCAAATAAAATGTTTTTCTTTTCCTTTCAGATGTTCTCTCCTCATCCCTCTGGATGCTAGCTTGATGATTTACAGGAGTCCAAAATCTACATAAAATGCAAAGCAATTTGAGTATAGTTTAGTGCCTCCTTATGGAAAAAATCAGTTCATCAACAGGAAGGTAAAGAAGCAATGAGTGAAAATAGCTATATTGAACTAGTTTAACAACAAAGAGTCTGGTAATGATTTACAAGTGACCAGAATGTTGGGAAAGATGAATGATACCTGTTGGAGTTAGCCCCTGACCAGGCACCCTGCTGGACTCTGTGTTGAGAGCAGTATGCACAATGGCACAGTCTTGCCTTCACAGTGTTTATCGCCCAGTGCTAGAAACAAACATAGAACTGTGTGCAGATTTATAGAAAGTGGTGGTGTTAAAAGAACTCATGTACAGTTTTACTTTGTAAATAGGAATCAATTTTTTTTTGAGGACAGGAGCCTCGCTTTGTTGCCAGGCTAGAGTGAGTGCCGTGGCGTCAGCGCTGCTCACAGCAACTGCAGACTCCTGGGCTCAGAGTGATCTTCCTGCCTCAGTCTCCCGAGTGACGCTGGAACTGTACGCAGGCATTCGCCCGTTGCCCGGCTATTTTTGTCTTGATTATTTTATCCAGTTGCACGATTAAGTTTCTTTTCCGGTAGTTCATGTCTGGTAGTATTTGTTCTGCTCTTTCTCTCTCCACTTTATCTATTATTCTTTATATTCTTCCCTCAGAAATCCTTTTTATTTATTCTTATCATCTCCCCACATAAATTCTATTTATTATATTTTTATTTATCTAATTTTAGTTTATCTATATATGATACAAGAGAAAATGCATAGGAAAATTTTTCACCGCTCTGTCCCCAGCACCTAATTCCGTCCTATGAGCAATCTATTTCTCGGTTTCATGAGAATCCTTCCATAGAAAATTCTATGCATGATGCAAACAATGCAAGATTAAGCGATGATTTTTATCAAGACGGTAAGATGTCAGTGATTGGTAAGATGTGGTAATATCTATAATACTTACTACAAAAGAAAATGGTTTAAATAAGTCCTCAATTAAACTAGGTGAACATGATATCTGTATGCAATGGCACTGTATACCTTCAGAGGCGATAACAATAAATGTGACTAAAAAAATGTGGCGTGACTCTAGAAGCTCAACTTACGGCGCATTGTATTACGGATTGTATCTCTACTCTTATCTATCCAATAATTTACAATAATAGTATAGCGCTGTTTTGTTTTTTACATAAGGTGTCTGCTGAGCGTATGCTTGTACTATCAGACGATCAACTAGATACTGATATTATCTTATAGCGTTATTCTAATCACATCACCTATAGTGCATTATCCTCGTTTCCTTTTTATCTCTGAGGCAGTGAAAGGAAGGACTTAAAGAGTATGTTCTAATAAAAAATATGTTGCATAGAGAGAGAAACGCATTGTCGATACATCTTGAAAAGCATGAATAGTGTGATATAAACTGCGACGATTACTGGAAGAAATGATCACGCCACATCTTATATCTCTTTGATCTCTTTGTTTCTGCAGAGAATAAAGATCTTCAATAAAGTATATTATTACATGGAGACAAGTCTCCTATTAGGAGGGATTCAAATCTGACACATAAATTAGCAAGAAGATTAAGACTAAGTGAGTATCTGACAGTTAACAGGCGTTAGAGTCTCTGACGTCTCGAACTAAAACTACGAATCACGTCGATCACACTATACTACAAAGTTGACAGAGTCATTGTTCTGAGCAGTGATTGGTGAAGTAGATAGTAAAAGACATATGAAGAGTGGGGGTGGGGACGGTGGGGTGGCGGTGGGGGTCGATGTCTTGTGGCGCGAGATGGGGTTGGTGAATGGGGCTTTGGGAGGTGGCCGTATATTATTTCTCCCGCTGTTGTGCTCATGCGCTCGACTCCGATCGTGCTGCGCCTTAGGGCACTCTGGTTGCCGATTCTGCCGTAACTGATGTTAAGTAGGTAGTGGATTGGGAAAAAAGTGGGGCGGGGAATTGCGGGTGTGTGCGGTGTGTCGTCCGGTAGAGAGGGCTGGCGGAGGTGGAGGAGGTGTGGGGATGAAGATATAAACGATGTTTTCTATCAAATTGTGATAAAACTGCAGGTATCTACAGGACAACACAGTCTATGTATTCGATCTCCCATCCAGAGGTTTAAGGAGTATATCTATATCCTTAACTACATAAACAGTTGATTTGTATTAGCATTTAAAGGTAAAAATGTCATGCGTTTTTTTTGGTTAACTTAAAAGAAATAAAGGGACAGTCTTAGAGCGACTCCTATAATTTAAGATCTTTCAGTATATGGTATTCTCAGGCGTCGCGGTTGCAGTTGATTGGTGTTGAAGTTGGGAGAAGAGAGCACTTGCTTTGGCAAAGACATAATTTAAGATAGATAGTTTGCTGTATTGTGAACTCCTCCATCGCGCCATATGCATACCTATAGAGTTTTTGACTTGTAGTGATAGGACAACAGGCGTTTTATTCTATATGGTAAACAATGGAATTGGAGTCAAGTCTACTTTTCTGACAATAACCTAGACGCCTAGTGAGAATGCAATCATTTTTGTTCTTTCCTTCTCTGGCAAAATAAACATGAGAATTACCAGTTTATGGATCCTAAGTTTCTTTCTCGAATAAATATTAATTGCCCATTTTAACTTTATAAACTGATAGCTCACAAAGAGAAACGTCTGTAAAGACTAGAGTAGCAGATTCGTATAGTAGAATGATTTTTTTACCTGTTTTTGCTATGCTCATATATTAGTGGACACAAAATCGAATCGCAAGTATGGCGTAGGTTCACCAGTTTGAACTAACTCCCAATGCAGGCCCAATACACTGTTGGGAGCCTTATAGGCACCAGAGCATAGGCCACTCAGCCTAATCGTTCTCTGCAATCTCCTGACTTGAATAGTCGCTTCATGGTTGTATATATATAGACATATTGTGCTCATTGATCTTCTTAAGCCATTGTAGGTGTATTACATTTCTGTTTTTCTAGTGAGGATCCTAGCAGGTGTGTAGCAGTGATGTCTTCAGCCTATGATACGGAGAAGAGGAAGACTTTCAGCTCCTTATATGAAACTTGCAGTAGGCAAAATCAATGGTTATGTGAGTAGCTTTTGATTCTCAGTCTTAATCAATAATGTTCTAGGCGGCGCATGTGGCTCATGCCTGTGATCTAAGTAATGCTGTGGAGGCCATAGGCGGAGCGATTGCTACGCGACCACTTCGTGTGAGCATTCTCTCACGTGCGAATCCAGCACTAGTAGCGTAAGAACAAAGCCCATCTCTCCTCAATATACTTTTTTTTGGTTTTCTGTATCCTTTTCTGAATAGGAATGAAAAAGATAATTAATTGGGCCCTAATACATATAGACAGAAAATGAA